ACCTCCATAGTAGCTTCTCTTTGCTACGTCCCTAAGAATCTGTTGTATCCCTGTAATGCAACTTTTTCCCAAGTGTGTTTTATTGCCTTTTTAAAATTGGAGCAGAAAAGTCAGAAGCCACAAAGGGGGAAGAGAACCCTAGCCCATTACAGCTGTGTGGAGGGATGGGGAAAGGGATGCCGCATGGAGGAACTTTGTGAGGGTGTCCTGGGGAAGGAGGGAGGAGTGGGGAGTGAAATTAACCAGGCATGTTTTCAACAATGCACTCCCTTGTTGCGTGCACCCGGGGCGGACCGCACCCACTGCCCCGCCTTTGGTACGCCACGTTTCCCCCCCCCCTTTCAAAAATGCTGACCGGTTGTGTATAAAAAAGAAACACTTACTCAGAGACAGCCAAATGTTCTTTGGATCTTGAGACTGCTGGTAAGTACCCAGCCCGGCTAAACCACCAAACAGGAGACCAGCTGCTAGAGATGGAACACTGCCTTGATTAAAGAAAAGAGGACACCTATCAGAAGGCACATGTGTAACCCCTAACCAACTCCCCCAGCCCCCACCTCAATTCATTCACAATTATTAAATGCTTTGCTTACTAGAACAGGGCAAAGATACAAGTATGGAGTGCACCATTCAGTTTTTCTGTGGGATTTACTACCTACAGCTGCCAGAGCTGCTTGTAACTTCCATATAAAGTAAATAATGTCACCTTGGCCAAAATTACTGAAATCAAAACCCGACAAAAGCATACAAACCACACCTTGGCAAAAATGTGAACAGGCTGTGAGTATTAATAAGGAGTGTGCTTCTCAAGGTAACTATCTACAAGGAAAATTCAATACCCCCCCCCCCCAAAAAAAAGGCTGTCTGGAGCAGAGATGTTTCTGTAATTTTTCTGAAGGCAAGAACAGCTGACACGAAGCAATTCTTTTGCAAAAGATAAGACCTTGTTCCTAATCCCTCAATAAATTCACCGACACACGAAGAAGCAGAGCCCCATCCTTAGTCCACGGTGAGGCTCGTATGGGAGCACAGTCAGGCCTAAATCACTAACTACTCACCCAAGATGGATAAGAACACTCCTCCAGACAAGCAAGCAGAGAAGCTTTTCAAAAGCAGAAATTTCTCTCCCACTCTTGCATGCATGGAGCAACAGCTGGTTTAAGAATGGGAGGCCAGTTTCCTTTTCTAGCATGGAACCCATGAAGTGGGAAGTCATGTGACATCAGAGTCACATGACAGCATGAGGAGGAGCCAGAGTGACAGCAGACAAGAGAGGAGTTCCATGCTGAAAGCACAAACGAAGCACTGGCAGGTGGAGTGGTGGGGACCATGGGAAGGAGAGAAAAGGCAAGCTTGGGGGGGGGGGACCTGCCTGTACAAGGAATCTTCTCCATCAACGAGTGCCTTTGCCTTACTGTCCTGCACTCCTCTGAGCAAGTATAGGAAGACGGCGAAGGGAAAAAAAGCAGAGAAAGTGGCAGGTCTGTAGGAGCTCACAAGCCACCTGAACGTCCTCCAAACTCCATGGTTGAAGACCACTGGACTAAAGCATCTTCAGTATATTCCAAAAAACTGTGACACCACCGAGGAACCTGCCAATCACAAACTCTCGTGTTCATGTCATGGCAGGGGCACCGGCTGCTCAGTTTCCAGGGGGAACGGGGACGGGACCGAGCCTGGTCCAGGCCGGTACTTAGTTATCTATATTAAATAATTTCGATATGAAATTATTTATATTTCCAAAAACCATATGTCATCAACAATGAATCATGTGGTTTAAGAAATATAATTTTTTTTCACTTGTAAGAGTCTGAATCTCAAAGAAAGGGGACTCCGTGAGAGGAAAGATGTCATGAACTCCTTCACTGAGACAACTGGAGTAGATATTTCATGTGTGTATGAAAGGAAACACTCCCTCCTCCTCTCTCTTTTCCTCACAACTTACGCTGAGTGTGTGACTGGCCCAAGGTCAGCTCATGTGCTTCATGGCTAAGTGGGGATTGGAACTCTGGCGTCCCCCATCGTAGACTAACACTCTAACAACTACACCACTCACATACTGGATACTCAATATGTATCTCCAAATGCAACTCAGAATTCACAGTAAACCCACAGTAAACACTGGCTTCTCAGATACTCTGACCTAAAATCATGGGAGCATTTCTTTAGTTGAAGTAGAGTCCAGGACCTGCCAGCTGTACCTCCTCTTCCCCACCCATGTACAGATGCACAGAACCAAAAAAAATTGGCTATTTCCATATCTTCCATTTCGTTTTATCTAAAGCTACAAGTCTCAAGATAACAAAATCTCCCTCTGACCCCCCCTAACACACATGGCTAAAGACAGATATATTCCCCTATCCTCCATTCCTTCTTTTCTAAAGCTGCAACTCCCATGATACCAAAATCACCTTAACTTCCAGTACATTGACTGTTTCAATGATCTGCTGGTTGAAAGTAGGGGCTTTAGGCAGAACCTCCAAAAATCCCAACAAAGAAATAAGGTAAATCAGGAAAGGGGTGCTCCTGTGTGACAAGTAAATGTTCCAAAGTCCCAGAGAAAGAAAGTGAAGTTGGCAGCCTCTGTACAAGTGGAGAGGATGAGACCGCACTGTGCTGTCTGGAAGTCAGGGGTCTACTTCCCACTCTGGGAAATCCCACGGGAGGGCTTCAGCCCCGCTACTTCCCCCCTCCCCAGATTATACCTCTGTGTCATGGTGCTGAATCAATAAGAATGAGGAAAACAGGAAAGGCTAAGGTTGGTGTCCTACTATACCTGCTTTTGCATAGCCGATTACTCCACCCGAAGCAACCAGTGTTGCATAGCCATAGCCAATCCAATCCACACTCATTCTAGAACAGAAACACAAACATGTAGAACATGATGTAAATACCAGAGCCAGATTTGCTTGCTTAACTTATTTAAACGTTTTCAGATTTGCTACTGCGTAGGAAGAATTTGAAGTCTGCACACCTTACAGAAACGACTGTCATTATCAACCAGTTAAATTATGCCCGAGTGCCCCTGATTAACTGTGCACCCTTTTAGAAGATGCACACCTCTTCTCTCTCCCCTGAAGCGGTCATTTGTCATTTCCCTTTCCTGCCCACCTTGTATCTGGCCACAGGAGACGGAGAAGAAATGTGAAGCAGACTCAGCACTCTCTGGTATCCTGGAGCTTCTGCTGTTCTTTGCCTCACCTTGGGGCAAGGGAAAAAGGCAACTAGTTGGCCCCACGGTCATGTGAAAACCCTTACAGACTGCATTTCTGCAGTGAGGGTCAAACCTACATGTTATATTTCCTCCTCTGTTCTCTTAAAAGGTTCCCCTCCCCCTTTCTAACAGCAGCTCTGGGGCTAATTTTTCAAGGAGAAAGGGCTCAATCCTTACATCATTCTCCTCTCTTCCATTTTATCCTCACAACAACCCTATTAGGTAAGTTAGGCTGAGAGAGTGTGACTGGCCCAAGGTCACCCAGCAAGCTTCCATGGCACCAGTGGGGATTCAAACACGGGTCCTCCAGATACTAGTCCAACACTTCTAACCACTACAACACACAGGGAGGGGGAGGACTAAAGCTCCCATCTTCTCCCTCCCGCCCAATTCTTCACATGGAAAGGGATCATTATGGGATATTTCATTCATTCATTCATTCATTCATTCAATTTGTATCCCGCCCTCCCCTACATAAAGGATATTCAGTAGTGACGCTCTGAAAAATAAAATGAACTATGGCTGAGGTCACACGGAGCATTCGCCGCGCTGACGATAAGGCAGATTTTCTGGGCGCGATCACACCGCAACATCTGGGAAGCGTAGAGTTCCCGTGGCTAACCCGAGGCTTCCCGCCGAAGATGCGGAGTAAAAAACTAGTACCTCCGAGGTACTAGTTTCTGGAAGCCACGGAGCAAGGGCGGGTGTCTGATTGTGTTTCCGGTGGACTTACGTGCCATCCGGCGCCCGCCGCTGTTCGTCACACACAAGGGTTTTTTTTTGTCTCCCAAGTCTCCGCAGGTTGCGCAACAGTGCCCAACAGCGCATGCGCACAAAGAGCGATTGCTAGTGTGATCGCGAGGCGCGGCTTCTGTGCCACACTGCAGGATACCCATCTGGTCGGCATCTCCCCCCTAACCACGGGACCTCGACCGGGACGTGTGCTCGGGCGGCCGCGTATTAGTTTCCTCCGGGGCAATTAGCCATGCCTCCCCCCGCGATATCCGGCCCGTGTGACCGGGGCCTATATTACCCTGATCTGTGAAGCCCAGGCTAGCCTGAACTAATCAGATCTTGGAAGCTAAGCAGGGTTGGCTCTGGTCAGCATTTGGATGACAGACCGCAAAGGAAGTCCATGGTCCTGATGCAGAGGCAGGCAATGGCAAACCGCCTCTCTCTCTCTCGCCTCGAAAACCCTACTGGTCCATAACTGTGACCTGACAGCCAAAAAAAATTATCCTGGTATCTAATGGCAAACTTCAAAACTGAAGAAGGCTTCCTGGGGATTTTTTTGTAATCAAATCATGCTCTCCATGCAGATGCAACTCCCTGTCCCACTGGGACTCCGTCTTTATCATCTACAGTCAAGTGGAAAATCCATCAGGTGCAGCACTCCACGCTGTGTTGGGAAAGGCTGTGCCTGTCCAGCCCTCACCTACTATGCACCTGTGTTGGGTATTACAAGTTGAAAACACTCCGTATATCTGGGGTTAAATGCTTGTTTATGTTACTCACAGGAAGTCATGTGTTTCTCATGTAACCAATGTTCTTTAGATGTAGAAAGCCCGGGAATTTTCTCCCTGATCTAGGAATTTGATTGGGACTAAAGTGTCAAGGTGTATTACCATTTTATGGCTTCTCTTCCCATCTTTGTTTGGTGTTCTGAAGAACAAGAAGAGTAGTCATACTCTCTCTCTTCTAGTTTTGTCTTTGTAGAGTAAGGATGTAGTAGATTTTGCTCTGTTGTTATTTTCATCCCAGTTACCCTTCCCATGCTAGAATTTAGTAAAACTTTATATTTTAATCACACATGGATTCTGAGTCTGAATTATTTTACTCTGGCTCTGCTGGACTATCTTATCTCTGCTAAATACCATTTTTTTTCAATATCTCACTATCGCCCAACAACCTGTTAAGAGGCTTCTGTTAGCCAAGAACAATGCAGCAACCTCAGGAAATCCGAGACCGGGACAGGAATTTGACAGGAGTTTTGAGACCCCGTCCCGCGGTCTCAAAACTCAGCCTTTTCTAAGGATAGATCTGGGTTCAGACTGCTGGATTAACCAGACGGGGGCGGCCGCAGCTCGACTAACTCAGGCTGGAGGAATCGTTGTGGCACCCCCAACCGGGGCAACTTGGTCGGCACACCTCGCCCCGGGAGCGCCCTTCAGGCAGAGCAAATTAGGCTTCCCAACCCCCAGGTGGGGGCTGGAGATCTCCTGGAATTGCAACTGACCTCCCAGACGACATAAATCCTTTGCTACTGGTTTAAAACACTGATCCCTCTTCTCCTGCAGAAAACGGCTGCTTCGGAAGTTGGACGGCGTGCCATTATCCCCTACCGAGCTCCCCTAAACGCCCCTCTCCCCAAATCGCCAGGTATTTCCGAACCCTAGCTCGGCGAACCCTCTCTCCCTCGGAACGCAAATCCCCTTGGCACGAGGCGGGTCTCTTTCCAGGCCTCCCCCCGCTTGCAGCGCGGGAAAGGATCTGAATAACTGACCTTCCTCCTCCAAGGACACCGGCAGGAGCGGCGGCGGCAGTGGACTCGCAGCACTCACCCGCGCGGGGGGGGGGGGTGGGGATCTCAGCCAGCGTTCCAAAGCAGACGCTTCCGGCAGCCCCTCGTCATCAGTGAGCGCCCCAGGCTGGTCGATCAAGACTGAGCCCGGAGTCGTCCCCCTCCCCCGCGAGAGAGGGAAGGAGGAGTGACGCTGTGCGCGTGCGCGGAGTTCTTTTCGCCCCGTGCGCGAGACAGGCGCCGGGCATCGCCTGGAGCGGGTTATTCTTGGGGTTGCAAATCTGAAGAAGGGCGGCCCGCGGACGAAAGCCTCTGCCCAGAATTAAACTTGGTGGTTCTCAGTGCCGCCAATGGAGGACTCAAAAATGCCCGAGTGTTAGCTGTGTGGTTCTATTGCAGGGAGTAGCAACCTCGCAGTTCGAAAGCAAGAGATTGCAAGTAGATAAATAGGTACCACTTCGGTGGGAAGGGAACAGCGTTCCGTGCGCCTTGGTGTTTAGTCATGCCAGCCGGCCACATGACCACAGAAATGTCTTTGGACAGCACTGGCTCTTCGGCTAAAGCGGAGATGAGCACCGCAACCCTATTTCGAGCAAGGGAACCTTTACCTTTAGCATAAAAGAAAGGTCTCCTGGCACTGTACAAACAGGCGGGCCTTTTTTTCTTTTCTTTTTGTAAAAGAGGTGCGGGACCTTTCAGGAGGGAAATAAAGTTTTCAATCTGTATACTACTCACGAGCTTTTAAACATTTAAAAAAAATTTTTTTGCTGAAGAGGTTCCGGAACTCCGCGTTCCCCCAGAATAAATGCCCTTACCAGTGTTCCCTCTAGGCCGAGTTAGTGTGGGCCAGCTCACAGTTTTTTAGCCTCCGGCTCACACAATTTTGTCTTAACTCAAGAAGGATGGCTCCAATGGAAACTAATATATGCAGTAGCCAAATCGCTCGCTCACAACTTTAATGCCAGTAGCTCACAAAGTAGAATTTTTGCTCCCAGGACTCCACAGCTTAGAGGGAGCACTGGCCGTGACAGGTGCATTGTGGCATGAGCTTTCATGGATGAAAGGGGATAGTCGTAAGTCAGGGCTTCCCCAGCCCCTTTGAGCCTGTGGGCACCTTTGGAATTCTGACAGGGCATGATGGGCACTGGCGAGCTGCATGGCCCTCGTGGGCACCGTGTTGGGGAGTGTATCCTGCAATGCATTTGTTTGCCTTTCATGTGTCTCGGTAAAGCTCTCTGGATGGGGCAGGGGCAGGTTATTACTGTCATTAGGCCACAGCCCCTTGTTTGGAAACCAACGGCCTGCAAGTTAATGGAACTCATCTCCAAGTCGATACTGCCTAGGGCTGGAGAGCAGCAGTTATTAGCGAGGGAAAGGTCAGATCAGAACGCAAAAGGTAGTGAAATTATGTCTGGAGGGGAGAAAAGTGTTTGTCAGCGGTGACATGCAAGTCAATTGGCATCCCTGGCTCCCATTATCTCCAATGGGCCTTCAGGCCACTCCCATTGTTCTCAATGGGCATTGTTTCCAAAGGGCAATCCTGTCATTCCTTTTTAGTACATCCCGAGATCTGAGCCCCTTTCAGCCATTCGAGTTTGCCACTCTAGCGCGTTCAGTGTTCTTGTTCTCCTCACAAGAATTTGTGGCAGGGAAGGCAACATCAGAAATAATTTGTTCAGTTACCTTTCATCACCGTACCCGAAAGGGATGGTTTTGAAAAGGAACTTATTTCTATAGCATAGGTATCATTGAAAGTCTGTTTTGAATTCAGGGTTCAGCCTTTTTAAAAGAAATGTCTAATGATAAGAATGCTCTGAGCGCCTGCCCAGTAGGATATTCTTTACTATTCACCTTGGTTTACCAACAGGCCTGGAGAATGAACGCTCCGTCCTTTAAGGATGGGTTAAGGGTGTGTGGCTTATGGTGCCTCCGAGCCTTGAAAACCTCCAACTGCCTCCTTTCCTGCTTCCTTTATTGAAGGGGTGAGAAATTTTTCTCTAGGCAATTTGGCAGGCTGCCAGGATAAGCCAAATATTGGCTTCAGAAGGACTAGAAACTTTAGAGATCTACTTATTAGAGCAGACCCTTTGAAACATAGCAAGAAAACAAGGAGTATAGTTAATCCCACCAGGGGGCACTATAGATGTGAACATTGTGCTGTTTGCAAATTGACTTGGCAAACTAATAAGGTAGAATTGACTTTGTATAAGACCAAGAACAACCAACAAATAACAACTGTGTACTGATCAACCCACCCAAAAGCAATAAAAGAGAGACTACAATACAATGCAAAACATGTAATCCATCATAGGACAATACATGAATATAATCCAGAATAACAGTCTCCTGAAACCCAATCTGGAATAGGTGTCCACAATGAAGTCAGGTACACTTTACAGAAGTCAGATGTCCAATCCTTTTCAACACTTTTCCTAGGTACAAGAAGTGTTTCGGACTTCAGGTCCTTCCTCAGGAGCTATAAGCTATAAAAATAGCATACATCATACTAATGAAATACTAATACAAACATATAAACCACATAATATTATCATATCCATTAACCACTAATTTATACAGTCTCATACAATCTTACCCAATCCTGTAAGTCTCTTAGCAGATTCTTAATAAGTACAATCATTCAGGTTTTCTGTAAAAGATAATGTCTCCTCAGTATGAATAATAATTTCCACAACAGTAGATATCAAATATGTAGGGGTTGATATTTACTGTTGTGGAAATTATTATTCATACTGAGGAGACATTATCTTTTACAGAAAACCTGAATGATTGTACTTATTAAGAATCTGCTAAGAGACTTACAGGATTGGGTAAGATTGTATGAGACTGTACAAATTAGTGGTTAATGGATATGATAATATTATGTGGTTTATATGTTTGTATTAGTATTTCATTAGTATGATGTATGCTATTTTTATAGCTTATAGCTCCTGAGGAAGGACCTGAAGTCCGAAACACTTCTTGTACCTAGGAAAAGTGTTGAAAAGGATTGGACATCTGACTTCTGTAAAGTGTACCTGACTTCATTGTGGACACCTATTCCAGATTGGGTTTCAGGAGACTGTTATTCTGGATTATATTCATGTATTGTCCTATGATGGATTACATGTTTTGCATTGTATTGTAGTCTCTCTTTTATTGCTTTTGGGTGGGTTGATCAGTACACAGTTGTTATTTGTTGGTTGTTCTTGGTCTTTGTTGACTGTGGACTGTATTGTTGTTGTTGTTAACTTGGCAGCCATACCACGGCCTAATCATCATAACTACTTCTGTGACTACTGGAATCCTTCCTAATATGAACTGAGTTCCCAAATGGTCCTTGGAAAGCATAAGAACAGGGGTGGCCAAACTTGCTTAATGTAACAGCCTCGCAGAATAAATGTCAGATGTTTGAGAGCCGCAAGACATGAACAAATACTACACATTTTTATTGGAAAATATACAAATTTGGTTTTTATTAACATTAAATTAGATTGTGTGAAAGAGCCACGTGTGGCTCCTGAGCTGCAGTTTGGCCAAGACTGATGGGTTCCTTAAAATATGGCCTTTAGGCAAATGGCAAACCAAAATGCGTTCCCTTGACTGTCGGTGTATAAGCTTCAGCACAATGATCAGAAGCATCTATCCGACAGTTGACAGCTGCACTGAACCGGATTCAGCTGGTTTGGACTTGGCAGAGGCAAGCGAAGTCACCATGAGTCAGCACTGATCTGATTGGCTTACCAATGTATATGGTAGATGTGTATCACTGTATATTCTCTCTCGGATGGTGGATGGTGTCTGGCGGAGCAGTTTGTTGGCGAGCTGTATATATTGTAAATAAATTTCCTGTATATAGTAACCACTGGACTTTCTCAGTGTGGTTGACTATTGGAAAGCCTCTGGTGAGTGGAATGACTGCTGGTGAGTGCAAGTGTGCCTGAGGTGCTGGTTCAACTTCTCCAAACGCGCTGTGCAAAATTGACAACAATAATAAACAATTCATAGAAATTACACATGTGTACAGCAATCAATAAATCACTGTTAGAAAACTTTCAGCCTGGTGTTTCTTTGTATATTTTTACTAACTGTTTTATTGGTTTTATTAAATGATGTATTTTGTGTTTGTTTTTTTTAAATTTAAGGCATTTTTAGCTCACCTTTCTCCTTGAAAAGACTCAAGGTGTGTTACAATGTTAGTTTTAAAACAATTCTTGGAATAAAGTGGATTACAATTAAAATCAACAAATAAAATAGTTTCTAAAAGATTCAAGCAACCAGAGATGTAGAGAGAGAAGAAGAGAAGAGATTGGATTTATAGCCCCGCCCTTCATTACCCGAAGGAGTTTCAGAGCGGTTTACAATCTCCTTTCCCTTCCCCTCCCCACAACAGACACCCTGTGAGGTAGGTGGGGCTCAGAGAACATCTCTGAATGAACTTGTAACTGACCCAAGGTCACACCAGCAGCTGCACGTGGAGAAGTGGGGAATCAAACCTGGTTCTCCCAGATTAGAGTTTTGATTTCCTTGAATACTTGAGTGTGATTCTGTTCTAGTAATTCATTCAGTTTCATTGAGATTTTGATTTCAAGGTATGTTAATGTAGTTTCGGCCCATTCATATTGGGATGTCTCTAAGATCTTTTCCTTTATTTTTTGCTTTATGTGGATTGGCATTAATTTTGATTTTGTATGGTTTATTTTTAGGCCGGATACTTTGCTATATTCTTTCAGTGTGTTCTGAAGAA